AATTATAGGCCTATAGCTTCATACATTATGAGGTGCATATTTTCTCTTCGTCATTGATGATTAGGTATTTTCTGAATCTCTATTAAAAAATTCTCTTTTTTTTCCTCTTTTTTACTTTTAGCTCCCTACCTGCTTATGACCCCTAGTGGGAACCAGTTTATCAAAAATGGTAAAGATATTAACGTGGAATGTAAAGTGATGAATACAACATCACCATATGATATAACTTGGTATAAGAACAATCAACCACTACAAACACAAGGACATTATATCATCCAAGGAAACAAATTCTCAATTCGGTCGCCTGGTAGCAAACAAGTTGGAACATATTCCTGCGAAGCAATTGTGGAAACTATTGATGGATCAGTAATGCTGGAACGCTCTATAACATATGGAGGTAAGTACCAATAACACAAAAAGTTTGTTTATGTTTATATGTACTGTACTCTAACAAGAGACAGTATTAACTAATGAGTATAGATAATTGATAACAATGAATCAGAGATCGTATGAATGAATCAAATGACAATCAACATACCAAAGAGAAAATGGTAGCGAATAGCTATACCACATCCTATAGGATCTGTGGGTATACCAACAACTTTAGCTACCTAAGCAAGCCATTATCTTTAAAGCATCTTATTCAATAACAGGGGTGGCGCCAGTATTTGCCCGACGGGGGGGGGGGGGGGGTGGGGGGGGGGGGGGGGGGGGGGGGGCGATGCCTCCGACAAGGGGTCAGATTTCCCCCGACGAAAGCAAAGTGGGCGTGGTAGAGCTTCGATTAAAAGGTTTCGAAAGTGGTCCAGGGGCCGAAGCCCCCGCAAATTTTGACAGTTTATGAGTTTCAAAGGCTTATTTAATCGATTTTAGAGTCTACTAATATGTAGAAAATACATATATTTTTTTGGCTTCCCTACGAATTGTGATTTTTCTCCCCGACGGGCCGGCCAGCTCTCCCCGACGGGGGACCTGGCCCCTGGCCCCCCGCTAGCGCCAACCCTGTTCAATAAAGCACTTGTAATTTTCTGTCTTAATTCTATTTAATGCAATATAGTTACAGACACGAATGAGAGACTCTATTTTACTCTTTGTTCCCATAACACTTACAAACACATAATACAGTATAGAAAAATATATATATATATATATATATATATAAATCTTCAAAACTTTGGTATACAGAACATCAAACCTATTTATAAACTCTGAATAAAACAGTAAAGCTAATTAAATTTCAGAACCGATTCACATCGAAGCCATGGACACCATCAGATACAGCAAGGGAGAAATTGCACACATAGTGTGTACAGCAACGTCGAGCCCTCTACCAGTAGTCACATGGTCTATAAATAACATGAACGTTTCAGTTGCTATAGACAGTGGAAACACAAGTCACTACCAGCAAGTTGGGCGTAACGATGGACCTCATGGCTGGAAGTCAACTCTAAGAGTGTTGGACCTCTCATATTCTGACACTGGCGTCTATAATTGTACTGCCTTCAATGGGATCCACCAAGAGCACAAGGCAATTCGCGTCACAGTACAAGGTTGTTAAAAGTTGAATTTGGTATAATTTGGTGTAAGTGGGTAGATGTAACTGAAGTATCAAATTGATTAATTGGAGCTTAAATGTGGCCATTTAAAGATCATTCGGTGCTCTTGGGCTCATGGGACAAAATGTGATCCGATATAAGGTTTCCTCTTTTTTCCTCATATATTTATTATGGTCTGAAATAGTGTAGACATATTGCTAAAAATTATTGATATTATTATCAAAAAATGTTATGAAAGAGAATAAAATGCGCTAAGACAAAAGTGCGACGCCCTCAGTTACAAACTGTTAGGATTAGATCGAACAATGGTTGTTACAACCGTTAATGTAGAAATTGAACAACTAATGTAGTAACAACTGCTAATGTAGCACACTCCACAGCTTATGTAGTAAAACTCTCCGCTAATGTAGAAACACCAACAGCTTATGTAGTAAAACGAAAATCAACCCCAGCTTATGTTGAACGCTCAACAGCTAATGTAGAAACGAAAATTGCCTCACAGCTAATGTAACTACTATCGCCAGCTAATGTAGAATATTACAATATTACAATACCATTGGCTGAAAAAAACATGGGAGGAACTAAAATTAGGTTGCCTACACATTTCATAATGGCGTGTAAACATGTGAGGGCACTTTAAAACAAAGGCCACCTATGCCTATATTATATAGGGTGCTCACCTCAGTAACCACTAATCAATAATAGAGCAGGAGCCCAGGGGTGTCAGCATAGCTGGAAAGTTAACCAATTTTTGTTTATATAGTAATGTTCTATGTGCCTGTCTATGTAGGAGAATGGGCATCTGCCGGTCCCATTGTGGTGGGTGTGGTCAGGAGGGGCATAAAAGGGCCCAAAAAATTGAGCTAGATCAACTTGTGAATTAACCCAATGAAACCTATCAGAATATATTCGGCATAGTTCAAGATATCACGAATGGACAATGCCAGACATTTCCAACGGTGGGGGGTGGGTGCCAGACGCAAAAAACCAGTACCCCAAAATTAAGCTAGATCCGCTTGTGAGTTAACCCGATGAAACCTACTGGAATATGTTGGGCATAGTACCAGGTATCAGGAATGGTCACCGCCAGACATT